TCCACGATAAAGGCCGTCGTGGCGGTGCTGCCGAGCGCGGAATTCTCCCCAACTGCACCTGTAATTAATGCATCTGACGATAACCGCGCGGCGCAGATCTAATCGGGCAAATCCCCCCCCGATTGTGGCGCGGCGCGCGAAAATAAATGTGCGCGCACCGTTTGAGAAATGCGTCGGCGACACACGAGCCGACGTAAAAGTGGATGAAACAAATGCATGAACGTAAAGACGCTAAGTATGACATCGATACTTCGGTTCCTTTCGCCTGGCATCAGGAATGCGTCAATGCTAATGTCGTTATGTACCTAAATGGCGATTCTCGGCCGTCGCGCCGTGAGAAATCGGCTTCTCTCGGTAGCAAGTGTTACTTGTTTCTCCTTCGCTCCGTCGCCGAAGGAACAAGGAAACTGTTTGACGATACGCGCGTGAACTCCGACCGCCAATTACTAATCTAACCTAACCTAACCTAACCTACTTATCATCCTGCGTTCAAAAGTCATGACACGTGACGTTACTCGCAAGCGCGATTGGCAGCCGATCCCGCGGCATGAGAAAAAATCTCTGTCTCTCGTTGCGAGAGTGTCCCGGAAGAAGGAGAGAAAAGAGAGCGGCCGGCTCTCTTTCTTTCGCTCTTTCGGGAGCCGGAAGAAGAAAAGACGAGAGGAAAAGAAGAAAGAGGCAAGGCAAGTCCACGTGGTGGAGTCCGAGTGTGCGAACGCGCGGCGAGCGGTCCGCCGCGCTCGGCGCGAGTTCCATAAAGGATTTCCGCCGCTCTTTTCTCCCCCTTGGAGGAGGGTGACTGTGGCGCGCTTAGAGCGTGCCTCTCTCCCGCATTGTATAATAATGTATCGCATATGGTCGCATCTTGTAAAACTCTGCGGGCGTTCCTCCCTCCCTCTTTTCCCTTTCCCTCCCGCCGCTCCGTCTTGTCCCAAACCGAGGATGAAGACCCGAATGAGGTCGTTCCCGGGGTCCCGGTTCATTCATCCGGCTCAACGGGGCCTTAGAGGTGACGAAAGGTCCTGAAAAACCGCCTCTAGGTCACGTTCGACGGGGGGCCGAAGTCTGCGGATTTCGTTCGGTCTCGTCGTTCCCGATCGACGTTGCCCCGGCAACGTTTTACCTGCATTGGTTGGCCGGGTCGATCGGATGCTCGCAAAAGTACGGGGTGTGGTGTTTCACCGAGAGAAGTATAAATAAGGGGGAAGAATGTTTTATAGGATTTTGAGGGTAACACGGTTGGGTTGCCTCCGAGGGCTTTGGTTCGCGTTATGCGTCACATCGCGACACTGTCCCGCGCTGTTTCACGCCATGTCTCATGTTTCCGCCCGAAGTAGCCCTCAAGAATGTAAATTATAGTTCTTCTGGAAAACGCTAATCTCACCTGTTGACGGTAGATTAGTGGCGGAAATTTATCTAGTCGAAACTCTCAACGTGATAAGTTCATTTTGATTGCACTATCTTAAACACACTTATCAATATTAGTATTTAAATTGTTATTAAATTGTCTGTCATACGCCATACTATTTATTTTTCTTCTAATTTTTCTCGAGAGTGAAAGATATTGTTTATACCTTTTAGAAAATTATTTTAGTACACTGTGATACATTTTGATAAAATATTTTTTTAGCTCGAAAGTGAATTGTTTTTTGTCTACTGTGTTACTACGTATTTTTCACTTTCAATTTTCGTCAATCAACGATATCTCGCTCGATTAGCGAACAGGGCGCGACAGATCCGATTAGACGAAAATATGCGGTCTTACACGCCGTTGAAGACAAATCAGCTTCACCCGTGACCATCGTTCCATTGAGAGTAGGGTAGTCAATAGGATCAGAAACGATAACAATGTGTCTCGAGTCAAGAGACCCTCGAAAGAGCGAATACTTAGTCTGCGGTTAGTTCCCCCAGATTACGTTTCGGTCTCACAAACAGCCCTTCAAATTTATGATTTTCTTCCGCTTTCGAAAGAAAGAATTGCCTTCCTTTGTAAATATCGCCATTTAAAATTACTCTATTTTTGGAATTTTAATAATACAAATTCATATGTATTTGCGTTTTCGTATGTGTGTATGTATATACATTTTTTCTCTTGTGATTTAATTTTGTTCTGCGAAATCTAGAATAGATTTTTAGCAGAATGTTTATCTCATCCGTACGGTATTTCAACACTAAGTCGATTTACGTAATCTTTCATTTATGTAGATTATTCTGTTCCAGCAGATGTTTCTCTTACGCATACTTGTTCCGCGTGTCTTTATTTTCCAATCACACAGATTCTATCGCGAATGGCATTTCGTGTATTCACATCCTCCCTTTGTTCTCATTCATCTTATTTTCGTCGACATCTCTGATTTGTGGAAATTTCACTTGCAACACAGTGAGCGTATCTATCAATTCATTCAAAGCTTGACGGCCGAAGGATTTGGAATGAAATATTTGCGAAAATGCGAAAGCTTAAACGTCACTTTTAAAATTCCAGAATGTATAATTTGCAGAAAGATTATGTAAAATCCAAATATCTAAATAAAGCTTCCATAGCTGACGAATAGATCAACTATTAGATCTATTCAATTAAATCTCTTTGTCACCGCTAAATTATTGTTGTTAAAATAAATTTAATACTAATTTGTTTTTATACAGCTTATGTCATTTTTGTATCATAGAGATCATAGAGATTGCGTGTCTCTTTGTGCTAAAAGATCTGGGCTCACATTCATTCACAATCAGAACATAAATATATCAGATAATTGATATATGTCAATCAAATGATTTTATTTGATCACCACCTCGTTCGGAAGACAATAGTAAATCAATGAGGATATCTTTGTATGGCAATCTAATAGGCTAAACAAGTAAAAATATTTCACACTTCTTGAAAAAGAGTGACAATTTTCACTCTTTTTAGAAAAATCAAATTTTCACTTCAAAGGAGTGAAACCTCACTTTTTAAAAAATAAGATTTCACTCTTTTCAAATTTTAATTCTTAAATAAAAAAACAGTGAAGACGGTTAATTTTTTTTCAAGAAGTGAAGGGTGATTGTATTTTCACTTTCTTGAAGTGAGATTTCACTGCAAGAAATTTAGAATGTATATATCAACACATGTATACAGAAAAAGAGATCACCACATCTCTAACAAGAGACGTGGTACAGACTTTGAAGAAGATGCCATTTTAATTCCTTCAAACTAACCTTTTAATTAACATAAATTATGTGAGTTTTATAGACCTAGCTTTAATAACTGTGTTACAGATTTTGATATCTACCGCTTCGGAGAATTAAATGTGCATATAGAAATAACGAAAGCAAAGTATGTAGAAAAAAAGTGGAAGTTTAGCATGCGAAGAAAAAAATCCAGACTTTTTTTCGACGTGGACATTTAATGGCCCACGAGATTTACTTACAGCGAAGGTTGAGGAGCGCGAGCTTTTCTATCGCGTCCTTTCTCTCCGCGATGAAACGTATCGCGCTGTTCGTTCTACACCGTCGCCAAAATCCGTCCATTTCCAATCCAATTCTTCGACATCGGGACGTCGTAAAGAGCCGCGCGTATGCGGGGACCGGCTCCGAGATCGGCGTTATAAGATCGGGCCACGTCTTTATCTAGGTTCTTTAGTAGGGGGCGCGGGGTGGTAATATATTTGGTAAGCGTGGAGCGAGATAAGTGGTTAGGTAGGTAGCCGCGGCGTGGTTGTCGGCCAGATAGTCGACTGGCTCCGGTAATGGAGACTGCAGGGTGCCGCTAATGCAGTAGCGATGTCACGGCGCCCGGTGCATCGGTATATTCCTCTTGCCCTCCCTTTCCGCTCTTCCGCTCTCACCATTGCGCGGAGCCACCGGACGTATCTTCGCCGGCCTTCGCGATATCGGCCGACCTGTATGTCCTTCTCTCTTTTCCTTTTTTCCTTTCCTTTCTCACTTTTTCTCATCTTTTTCTCACTCCCTCGACGCTCGACGCGGCCTCTCTTTAGCGGAACTCTATTGAGAACATTGGTTGATACCGAGGGGATATCTCGAAGCGATAGCAGTTAGACATGTGGAATGTGTTTATACTGAATAACGCGACACTGCTGGTCGCGATGAGGCTTATTTTTGTAAAGATTATTTTCCTCCTTTTCTCTCGATTAACTGAATACGAGAGATTTATTAAAGGATAGAGAGGAGCACTGCGTGTAGCCTTAATAATAGTGTACGCGCCGTACATTTGTTGTACATTTGTTTCACTCTTTGAGCCTCACATCGCGTGAGGCAAACGTTTTGTGTCGTAATATTTCTCACCTCGAGAATATATTTCTTTCCAACACTCACGAATATGAAAATCAAACGAATACATAAACGTGAAAATTGTAAGCTTTGACTATGTCAGGTCAAACAAAATTATATATAGAACAAGATTAATATAGACGGTTTCTAAATTTTTATTTTACAACGAATTGAACCACATATTACACACAGTTAATTCGAAAAAAGTTAAGTGGTTGAGATTGAATTTATTTGTAAAGTCCCTCGTTATTAATTAATTCAGTCTTAACTCTTAACTTTTATCCGTCAATCGAGTTCCTCTGATCTATCATGAAACAAATCAAAATGGATTCCGTTCGGAATTATTCCATTTTCAATAGAAATTTAGAGAATAATTTGATTAGCTGAATTTAATTAATGTTAAGAAAATTGTAGTCATATTGTTAGTCATCAATCTGACGTTGATCAACTTCACCGATTCATCAAATAAGACTTAGGACTACCAACTACCGACTCATTGTAGACCTGGATTTACTCTAATCTTTTAATATCTCTACTTATCATTTATGTGCGAAGTGTGTGGACACATTGTATCTCGACCTGAAGGATTTCATATCGTTGACTATTTATTGCTATCCTAGACCTATTACTAATATCAACGTACTGAAACGCGACTTTTATACGACACGATCTGCACAGCCTACTTAGTATGCATTGCAATATAATATTGATTCTCTTCCGTTCTGTGTTCGCAGGATGTTCGGCAGCATGAAGCGATGCGCGCGCTGCCAAGCGGCGATCCTCGCGTCCGAGCTGGTGATGCGCGCGCGCGAACTCGTTTTCCACGTGCGGTGCTTTTCATGTGCAGCGTGCGCCGTGCTCTTGACGAAGGGTGATCACTTCGGCATGAGGGACGGCGCCGTGCTCTGTCGATTGCACTACGAAATGGGCGCCGAACTGCATCCGGCCCAGAGTCCGCCGGTCCCGGTCTACCCACCCGGGCCGCACTACCCCGGCCAGCCCTTTCCCTCGCCCGAGTTCCTCCATCACCATCATCATCATCACGCGCCACCGCACCCTCATCACTCGATGCACCCCCAGCACCCGCATAGTCACGTCAGTCCGGTGCCACTGCAACCCTCCACGCCCTCCGTTCCCGATGCTTCTTCACCCCCAAAGGTGCCCTACTTCAATGGCGCCGCCGCCGTGGTCCCACCGCCCAGGCAGAAGGGTAGACCCAGAAAGAGGAAGCCTAAGGATCTTGAGGCTATGACTGCGAGTCTTGGTGAGTGTGAATTTTGTAAATTGTACCTGATGTAGCGTGGGATCTCTAAGATATGAAAATAGACCTCGAAATAGCTCTGAGAGCGATATTTATAGTCGGATTTTATATTTAGGATCGTCTTAAGTACAGTCTTAGGACAATCGCGTACAAAAAAAACTTAAGCAGTAAAGCATAAGCAGTAAGTAAATTGATCAATCACGATAGAATCCGCAAGGCCATAATGTAAGCAATAGCCAATCCAATATGTTGATTTCCTTACTACTTACGTCTTACTGGCTTAAGTTTTTTTAAGTTTTTTGCATGCCATGGCCCTTAAGATGCCATAAACCAATTAGAGAACTTAGCATTTTAAATCATTACTTAAAACCAACTGTGAATACCGACTGAAATTGTGAAATCTCAAAGTTTCTAATTTTCCAGATCTTAAAATTTTGAAACTCTCGTTGTTTTACAATTTCGATTTTTACGATTTCACTGCAAAAAATTTAGAGTGTAAAATAATAGACAAGAGTAGTCTACAGATCATAAAGTCTAGACACGTTGTTGTTTCCAAAGGCAATCTTCAATCGCGCCACGCTGGGAGAACGTATGACCGACCTGACGTGATTTATAGGCGTGCGTGGGCGCGCGACGTTTGCCACCGAAGCCTGATAAAATTTGTCGGCGCGACATAAATTCCCGAATCGAATCCCTCGACGAAACGCATACGCGACGTGTGGGCGGCACGCCGGTTAGGCTGGGAGAACTCAATTTCCGATTGTCGAGACCGATCGTGGGAACAAGTTGGTGGTACCAGCTGGCTTCGACCAAAGAACCACTGCGGACGTCGAAACTTCTACTTGCCACCTCTTCTCCATGCTCCTTTTTTCCGCTCATTCTCGCTGGAGGAGGTCGCTCGATGTCGCCGTGTCGTCGTAAAAAAGGATTGTGGCAGCGCGCAGGTGATCGCCCAGTACCAGAGCCACAAGTTGGCCTCTGATCTATCGTGGATCATGCAGGCAATTTTTTATGGCCGTTGCTAAGGGCCGCGACGAGCCACGCTTCCGAGGCGAGATAAATGTGCCGTGTGTTTAGTAACACTTGAATTATGGTTGTAGTTCGCAGCGTGCGGTCTTGCATACGAACAAATCGTTCATACAGATTGCTTGTATTAATTGTTTAATAAGCGAAGCCATGGTACTATATGGTCGACTGAGTTGCGAGCAGTTTCGTGTTGCTAGACTGTGCAACATTAAAAGCTCAATTTATTCTTATAATATAAAAGAGAGAGACAGAGAGGGGGGAGAGAGAGAGAGAGAGAGAGAGAGAGAGAGAGAGAGA